TTGTAGAGAGGTGGGCGCTGACCTCTTCTCCCTGGTGAAAAGCAATAGGACGACAGAAAATGGATTCAAGTTATGTCAGGGGAGGTTTGGATTGGATATTAGGAAACATTTTTTCACTGAAAGGGTTATTAAATATTGGAATAGGCTGCCCAGGGAGGTGGTGGATTCACCATCCCTGGAGGTGTTTAAAAAAAGGGTAGATGTGGTACTTAGGGACATGGTTTAGAAGTGGTTTTGTCAGGGTAGGTTAATGGTTTGACTCGATGATCTTAAAAGTCCCTTCCAACCTTAGCGATTCTATGATTCTGTGGTCTTTAAAGGTCCTTTCCAACCCAAACTGTTCTATGATTCTACAGCTGAGGGAAAAAATAAGAAGAGTTCAAAAGTGAACACTCTGGGGTTTTTGAGTTAAGATCCTGCGCAAAATTTTTCATGTAGGTTTCAGATTTGTAGCACTGACAATTCCATGTGTTTTTTAAAATATTTGTTATTTGACTCATGATCTTTTGTGACGTTATAGCATTGCCCGTTCCCTCTCAATGTGGAGTATAGAAATTTGATGATTGAAAAGGAAAATGGGATTTTGATCTATTCATGTGATTTTTATGGCTTAAGAATCGAAGCAAAAAGCAACTTCTCTTAAATACATTACGAAATTGTTAGAGCCGGCTACAAAATGTTTGGCTTAGTCCTCCTAATGCAGATTAGTTGACATTTAGTGAAGCAAATTCTTTAAAATAAATGCTGAAGTACCTTCCTAAACAGTAGAGATGCGTATTTGAAGCCTTTAGGCCAAGATTGTCCAAGTAGCTGAAGTCCTGAACTTATTCAAGGTTCTTCAAGGTACCTGCCTTTATCCATGGATTATCTATGGAACTTACATTAGTAAGGCTAATTTACTAGACCCCTACAATGTAGGTAGAAATGTTATGTCTGATTTAGGCTGACTAAATCCCAGTCAGTGCCCTTTGGCAAACTGCATGGTATTAATTAAAATATTTTTGCCTGGATCTGGTGTCCAAGGTGAAGGGCAAAATTAATCATCTTCTAATGCACACAGTAAAGTTAATCTGAAAAACAAAAGAATATTTTATGTGTTGCATGGAACTATTGCTCACTATTAACATTATAGAGCTCTGATAAGGTGAGGTATTTTTTTCTTTTAAAGAATCTTTCTAAATGCTGTATATCTTTTAAGAAGCAATGGCACTGAGGATGTATTATTTGCTCATTTTTTTGTGAGGTCAATGTCTGATATGCTTTTGAACATTAAGTTGTTCAACGTTAGTTCTCTTTGCACTTTTACTGTCCTACCTGTCCTGCTAACAAAAATTTGCTGTAGTGGGCGAGATGCCTGTATCGACTTTAGCCATTTTCTTTAGAGACCGTGTGTCTGTTCGTCATGTCAGCTGAATAACTAAGCTGGCTGATCGCTGTGTCAGCAAGCAAAGTCTCTCTTCCATGCCCGTAATTCTCCAGCTCTAAACATACTTAACAGTTAGCTGGTGACCTTAGAAAGTCTTTTCATCTCTGACTCCACAAGTGGTAGCATGACTATCGGGACAATGTTTTAGCAAGGGTAATAATAGCTTAAAACACATTGAGGTTAAAAGCAAACATCTAAATGCATTTGTCCAAATGACAAAGATGAACCACAGTTTATGAGGTCTCACGCACAGCTGAAGTAACTGGTACATGAACAGGCACTGACTTCTCTGCTTCTGGTTTCCAAATATTTTTTCCCCAGATCTTTGTTGGTTAAGGAACAGAAACTGATGCCTAGTATTTAAATGGATTTCAGGAGCTGGTGAAACAGAGGATATCATATTTCCTTATGTACAGTAAATAGGTTTTGTGACATTCATCAGCAAAACCTCTAACCATTTTTAATGAGATTTATGCTGCTGTCATGCTCTAATGCATTATAAAAGCAAAAAAGGCTAAATGAATTATTGTCAGATTTTTGGTGGGCAGAGTAATCTTTTAGAACTGCAGAGGGATTCCCTTGTTCTCTTGAGAGCAGCCTGGGTATGTGGGTGAATTCTGTGCTCATCCTACGCTCCTAGCTTGGAGCTCAGCAACCCCTTGCTGCATATTGTTTGTCACTTCAAGGAAGGCTTATCTCTGGGAATAACAGTAGGGAGTGGGGGTTTTGGTAACTAGAAGGCAGAAGAGGATGATATGAAACAAACCCAAGATTTCTCTGTTACATGTCTTTTTTTTTGTTTGTTTTTCAGCTAGGGAGGGTGAGGGATGGAGTGCAGCAGCCGTGCTTTTCACCAGATACATATTCTTTGCAAGAATGTGGTTCCACTGAGATGAAAAACTTGAGCATGGCTTTTGGTGTACTGAGCTTCCAGGGCGGTGTTTCTGTAGCCCCTTGGCTCCAATCCATTAAGGATTATTCAATTTAAAAATTGTGCCCCTAAAATTCGCTGTGTTTATAAGAGACTTAATGCTGACAAAAGCTAAGGCAGTCGCCTGAACGTCCTGGTGAGCCCTGATGGAAAGGACGTATTCTTAGAATAACCTTCTGGAAAGCCTAAGAAGCAAGCAAAACATTAGTATAGCAATTCTTGCTGTTAAAATTCTTGGTCCATGCCAGACCACGTGCAAGGTACGGAAGAACAGGTAGAAATAGATGTTGGCCCTTGGGAGGGCATTGCACCTGTTCTCTGTCACGTAAACATAGGAAGAGATTTTCAAAGGACCCAAAAGGGAATCAAACTTGGATCAAGTCTTTCACAGCTTCCGCAATGTACTTGACCACTGGGCGAAGGAGTAGTTCAAATGCATCTCCGTTCAAATGGGGAAATGAGAACAGTTTTTGCCAACAGAGCCTTGCCTCTGCAGCCTTCACGGGGAGCTGCCACATGCCAGCTCATGCCATGTTGCATCGGAAGTGGTGTCTTCTTGGTTGATAGCTGGCCCAAATGCCTCAGCTGCTCATACAAATCATTCAGTGCAAATCAGTGAGATTTCCTAGGCACAAGCAGTTAATATTTCAACAAGCAACTGCAGATAAAATTGCTGTGTCAGATTTCATGGCAAAGAGAACTGTTGCCCTTGTTTAGAAAATTCTGTGCCTGGAAAGTTTTCAGAACTTCCCTTTCCAACCATCTGAAAAATTCCGCTTTCAGATCAGCTTTGAAATGTTCAGTGTCTCTGCATGCCAGTCTTTTTTGGCATTGTTTTTCTAGTTTAGAAGAACCAGAGATGAAACAAGGTGTTTTCTACCCCCTGGCAAAGCTCAGGAGGAAGGTTACTGCTACAGACTTTGCTCTAGTGCTGTAATTGTCCTAATGTGTAGAACTGTATATTAGGATAAGAAGTCATTACTATCATTCAGGTCTTTCTGAGAAACTTCTTGCTGGATGCTCTATTTGCACAAGCATGTTCATGCGTGTGTGGATGCATGTTGTTTTTCCAGCTGATTTTCCAAGGAGAAGTGGCCCTTTTGCTGCACGCTGTTCCTTGCCCTACATGCAGAATTTTTCAGATTCCCAAAAAATGTCTACCTTGAAACATGTCGGTCCAATAACAGTGAAAAAAACAGATTAAATTTTTCACCATGGTTTGATTCATATTTTTTAAAGAAATAGCTTGATTCTGCTGTAAAAAAAAAAAAAAACATGCTGGTGAAGCACAGCAGCTTCTCTCTCTCTCTCTCTCAGCCCACACGTCTGCCATTTTTGCCCCCACTCTCCTAAATATGTCTGTGTCACCCAAAGGACGTAGTCCTGGGCTTTTGGCCAATATCCTGGGCTTGAATTCCCACATAGAAAAGCATTTACTTAGGAAAATAATATCATGTGGCAGCCGGTAGGCACAATACTACCTCTACTGCCAGAATGTACTGCCTCTAAATGAAGCTGTGGCAGATGGCCTGAAATGTTTCAATGCTTTCTTTCTCTAGACCAGGATTACCCAATTAATTTGTACTACAGTGCATTGGGTTGTTTTACCAGGTTCTTGTCAGACAGGTGGGATGCACTGGATCTAGGTTTGCTGGACCAAGCAGGGTCTGCAGGTGGGGTGAGGGCAGCCTACAGCCAAATCCCTGGGACACCAGGCTCCTGGTGGGGCCAGATGAGTGGGAAGGAATATGAGATCATCCCTCAGGACACCAGGGACGTCTGTTGGAACGAGAAGAAGTGGGCTCCTGTTTCAGATCGTGACTGAGTCCACCATTTCAGCAGCCCTGTTTTAGATAAAGGTGGGATTTTACTTGGTATTGATGCTTTTATACGCACTATACCTGCAGAACTAGCTTTATGTTACCATTTATTGAGTGTTGTCCTCATGCATGGTACTGGGTTGACAGAGCAAAAGGCCAGTAGGACCCTTCTGTTGTTGTGATTAGAGAAATCCGTAAGTGAACAAAAAGGTTATTTTCATTAAGAAAGCAGCGGTGCGTAGGGAGCTTTGCTATAGCTTAGGGAAAATATATGGGGAAGAATAAGAAAGAGTCAAATGGGACATCAAGATTTTGGGGTTTTGGACAGACCGAGGCTGGTGCAGTCATTTTTAGTGTGGCAGAGTAGTTGGCAGAGAAAAATGAGCAGCTATCATTTTGCTAGGTTTATTAGAAGGAGTGACTTTGAAGTATAACCTAGTAAATACAGCCCATCAAACCAGAATTAGGCCAGCTGCGTATTACTGGAATAGCTCAAGGAAAATGTCCTTGTCTGTTCTATCCTCTTCTCTGGGTACATGTTTTTACTCGGTTAAGAAAAGTCAGTGGAATTGCATTTAAAAGTGTTGTCACTTCACAGTCTGTCACAGGGCTTTTGCCAGCTCCCTTCAAAAGGAGTTGGTGCCTAGAACTGTGCCAGCTGGTTGATCTGATCATCCCATCACTTTACTCGAAAATCTAAATATACAGCAGTACGAGCTGAAATATGTCTGCTGTCCTGTTTTGCGACTATTCTGCCTTTGAATGAAGAAATACTTTCACATTAAAGCGGTACTGAAGCTCTCTCTATCTTTCTGTTCTATAGGTTGTCATTTTGTATTTTGAGCCAAGTGTATTTCGCTGTGTTCTCCTAAGATGGGTTCGTCTTCTGGGCTTTGCTACTGTTTATGGAACTGTGACGCTCAAGCTGCACAGGTATTTCACATATTATTAATTTCCATCTCTGTGGGAGTATGTGCAATCTGTGTGAGTACTTAGATGGAAGAGCTGCAAATATTATGATAAACAAGCGCCGTTTCTGATTTTTAAAACCACTGTGTATTTCTCCTCACCATTTCTGCTCAAATTGTATGCTACTAATCCCAGTAGAGAACTATGAATGCAGACAGGATTTGATGAAAAATAAATACATCAGCTATAAAATTGTGCAAGAACTGCTTTTCACAGAAGGTGAATATATTGTCGTTGGGTACACAGAAATACAGAAGTGTTCATAGAGTGTTCAAAAGTGTTCAAAAGTTTCCCTGTAAAGTATTCATCGAGAGATGCTTTCTAAGTGTTTAGATACAGCGATGGTGGGTAAAACAATACACTGTGGTGTATACACTTACTATGTTTTCTTATGGCTCATAAGTCTTATGGCTTTGTTCACGCAATCACAGCAGACAGGCTACACGCTTACAAGCATCAGTCCCTGCCGGCAAAAATGTGTGGGAAATTCTGGGTTCCATAAGGCTGGCAGTGCATTCACATGCATTTCAGAGGTTAAGATTCAGAGACCCAACTTCAAATCCCACTTCTCCAGTCCGCTTAAAAATTGAAGCCTTTTCTGGGTATACTGGATAAAATCCTAATGCATTTTCCTCTTTAAACATTAGTGAAAAAAATTACTGATACATTCTGTAAGTATTTTAATTGAAACAAAGAGATATGCAGCGTGTGTATACTGGTGCTTGGACATCTTGGACGAAGTAGGCTTGCTCATATTTTTATCTTAGTTTCATTACTGTGTTGGCATGTTGTGTAGAGGAGGATTTATATTATGCTCGTAAACTGAATGAGGACTGAGAATATTTTGTGCTTCATGTTGCACTATTGGCTCGTCACATTTTAGGTGGAAAACCCTGCTTTCCCATTGAAATAGAGCCTCTTCATGCAGCTCCCTTTTATTTGTGTCCCTGGTTACAAGTGTACACTTTGGCTGGTAAACTCTGACTGAATAATGCTGTGTCTGGCCGCATCTTTGCATTGAAATTAATCCAGAAAATTCCACATCCTTATGGTATTTTCTGGGATGAACAATTTCTGATGCAAAAAGAGTAACAACTAGAGCACTATAGAAAAGATATAACAGAACTGGTGACTTTGCTTGTATGGTTTGTTGTCTGTAGCTCAGATACATAGAGAAACAGCGTAAGACTCTGGAAGACTCATGTAGTCCTTGCAGTTCTGCTACCCTAACAGGTTGTTGATATGATTTTACATGATGTGAGAAAGCAATATCCTGACAGAGCAGTTGATATTCCATGTATATGAATTGAGGACAGGCTGCAAAATTGGGCAGATAATCTTGCACTTCTGCTTTGCTCATTCAGCTGTTCAGTGTTACTTGGCACCTGTACTGACAGGGTCAGGGAACAGGACAAAGACTGAATAAGAAACCAAGAAGGAGCTACATCCTCATCCTTGAGCAGAACAAAAAAATGAAGGTTAGCAGTAGACTGGACTGTATCAACAGGACAGCAGCCAGAAGATTGAGGGAAGTGATCCTTTACTCTGCACACCTTAAATCATATCTGCAATGCCGTGTCCAGTTTTGGACTCGAATGAGTTCAGTGAAAGGCCATCAGGACGATGAGGGCTTGGAGCACTGGCCCTGCAAGGAAAGATTGAGGGAACTGGACTTGTTCAGCATCGAGAAGAGATGGTGTTGGAGGGACCTAACAGCAGCTGTCCAACACCTACAAGGAGGTTACTGAGAAGATGGAGGCATGCTCTTTACAGCGAATGTATATTGGGAGAAGAAAAGACAATGACAAATTGATACGGGAGATTTCAACTTTATACAATATAAATTAGCGTCAGGGTCCATGTTATACAAGGAAAACATTTTCACTGTCAGGGTAATTAAGCAGTGGACCTGGTTGCCCATGAGGTTGTGAATTTACATACTTGAAGGTTTTCAAGACCCAACTGGATAAAGTCCTGAGTAACCTGGTCTAGATTCAGCGTTAAGCCTGCTTTGAGCACTGGATGGCTTCTGAGGTAATTCCAACCTGAATAATTCTGTATTTCTGTGCGAAACGTGAAGAGAAAAAAAATCAACCTATTTTGTATATTAATTTAGCGTTACCCTCTCTAGGAATCTGTCTTTGTTTTCCACCCAGGTTTCCTGACCATTCATTTCCTACGTTCATGATATTGTGGTCTTTTTTTAGTACTGAAAATTTCAGTCAGGGATTGTGCCTTGCAAAAGGCAGATCAAGTTAGATATATGTTTTATTATATACATTTGCAACAGTTATGCTAATTAAGAATAATATGATGCTAATAGAAATTTGGTAGAAAATTTTGGCAGATCTAATTTAATCCACAGTTGTTATGGGGTTGAAGAATGCCGTACTGCAGACACCACAAGTACTCACAAGCAGCACTGGTTCCCTCCTGCAGGTAGCCTGTGTTTTGCCTGGGGGAAAAACTGATTGCTAGCAAGGAACTTGTGATTTTTCTAAGTTTAATGAGAAAACCAATATTGTGTAAAAGCAGCTATTAATGATAACCAGAAAGTCTAAAGCTGTATTTCTCAACAAATGAGGTGCTTTGAATAGCACTGGAGCATGAAGGTTATCCAAAGCCAGGTAGGAGGAACTGGAAACACTTGTTTTCTTTGTGGTTTTTTTTCCCCGTAGTTCTCCACTTCGCGATGAGGTCTTTGAGGTATTGTTAGGGTCAAGCATCAAGGAGAGAGAAATCAGAAAAGTAGCCAAAAGCAGCTGCTTAAGGAAGAGTGAAAGAAAAGGGAATTCATGAGCTGATTCATACTTTGAACACCCGTCACAGTCAATTTCTACAGTGCCTCATCTTAAATTGCCTTTCTTATTCATTGTGCATTTTTAAAATAATGAGCTGATGTTTATGGGGGTGGAAGGATGGGGGTAAGGAAATGAGCTTAATTTAAGAAATCTAACTGTACAGCCATGAACATAAAACTCAGTACTTTCTTCAACAGTGAATTTTTCAAAATAATTCTCTCAAGAAATAATGATGTTTCAAATTTAAAGTTTTGGGTTTAAAAGAGCTGCTGATGTTGCATCTTTCAGTATATTTCTGTGACTGAATACTCTGCGTGCTTTTTCAAGCCCTGTGTTTTATGAGCAGGTTATCACATTATTTTTAATATTTTGTGAACATCTGCCATCTTGGTGTCAGGATTAATTCTGAATTAAAGCATAAGAATGGAAGAAAGCTATAGGTATATACATACAGACATATGTATGTCTGTGTGTGTACACATAGGATAGCTTACAGACATTTTAGGAGAATGAAACCCAGGAATGGGGTCTGTAGTTTGTGGGAGTCTCACTTTCTTATGTTACTAAGAGAAAAAGAGGAGAGTGGGGAAGTGAGGAGAATGAGAAGGCACGGAGAAGGTAATGTTCCAGGTATGGAAAACAAGACAATGACATGAAATGGCTTTTTTGTAAGTAGTGATGGTGGGATGAGCATGTTAGTGGGGGGACAAGAAAATGTTAACCCTATGAGGCAATTCTGTACTTCATTTAAATGCTGTGCTAAGATTACATTGCTGTGCCTTGCCACCTGGTGCAGCTGAAGCAAGTAGTGGCCCTTCCTATACATCTTTGTAGGTGATAAAGAAAGGAGGAGAAGAGCAGTGTGGGTAGTGTGCAGTGCAGTGTGTCACGTGTCACGGTTCGGTATCTTACAAAAGAGGAAACTCATGCTAGCAGAGAACCAAAGATGTCAGTTTGCTTCTTGAAGCTGCGTCAATGGTGAGAACATGAAAGAGGAGGACATGACATAACCTCCTCTTGTAGCTAGGGGAGGGAAAGAACAGAAGCTCCCCTCTAGAATTAGCTGATGGGAACAAGGTGCAGAAAGCTACATGAAGTACCTCGGCAACTGGAGCCTGTACAGCAGGGTGGACCCTAGGCAAATATTTAACGGTTCGTAGTGCCCATAGATGCTGGTTCCACAGTGGTTCCACTGGTTCCACAGTGCCAATACGCTGCTATCCAATGTTTCCATGAAAAGGGGCGCTAGTGATGAAGCACCATGAGAGAAGTTTTGTCTTGAAGTAGTTGTTACTGTATAACCTCAGCTTAGGTGCGCAAGTAAAGTGAGATGGGCATCAGCTGTAGTGGTGAGCTACCCTTTGTTTTTGAAATGAGTCAGACCCTCATGGTCATTTTGGTTGAACACTCCAGAAAAGTGGGAGATTTAATTTCTGTCAAATTATTTGCTTTTTTCTTATGGAAGGCGAGTGCGAAGTGGCTTCAGGCAGATGCATTCACTCTTGGATTTTGCCACTGGATGTGGTCTGTAGCGGTTGTTATGCCATGTGAAACAAAAGGGGGGGAAATTGTTTTGGAGGCAGATGTTGCTGTTGCAGAAATGCAGTGTCCTGAGCTCTGGTCTGATACTGCCTTGTGGAATTATTTGTTTTTTTTACTGCTTTAACTTGACTGGCATGATTAGGTGTTTGAGTCTGTTTGCAAGGCAGGAAAACGGGTGGTTTAGGCAAGCTGTAGAGCTTGCACCATAGGGGCTTACGATAACCATTCTGACTATTTTGTCTGTCTTTTCCCTGGAAGAAGCATATTTTAGCACCTTTGTTCTATTTATGCAGCTCTGTTCATTTTGTAGATCCAGTTCCTGTGATCTTACAGTAGATGCTTGGGAGCAGCTATTCCTGTTTGTTATATTCCCACAAAATACATCACAGCATCAGCTGCAAGAAAGCCAAGTGACCTGTCACTGTAAACTCCCCTCTAAAGACCGACCATCCTGAGACAAACTTGCTGTCAACACTACAGGTGTATGTTAGAGGATCTATTCCATGGTTCTTTTGCTGAAATTTGCTGTAAATCTCCCCCAGGGCCTGGAAGGAGAATTTGTCTGCCTCTCCTTCCAAGGGAGTTGTGGAACTCAGTACGAATGAGCGATTTCCCCTCTCC